CCAAGATTTGAAGCCAAAATTGATTTTCTAAAAACAAGTGTTTTGCGCCCTGTTTGGGAGAAGGTGTCTTCATCTCTGCCAGTAGCTCAAATTGTGCTCTATATGCTTCCCACGGTGCCTTCCCATCGAATTCCTGTAGCTTCCTTCTCACTGGATCACTCCTATTACTGACATTCATATCTGGGATGTGACTGACAATGTGTATGTATCTCCCCATGGACCCAATGAACCTCCTCACCAAATTTGGTGAAGATACATCTACAGGGGGCGAAGTAATGGTAAAAAACGCCCATAAAAACCGCATAATTTGAAACTGGAAATTTGTATATACCTCCCATAGACCTAATGAAGCTCCATGCGAATTTTGGTAAAGCTCCATCTACATCCTGCGAAGTAGTTACATGGATATAGAACAGACAGTACTATAATATTTATGTCGATAATCACACCAGATGGCGAAGCGAATTGTTACGCTTTTGTAACCAGAATATAAAATATTTATGAAATAATATTTCAAACGCTTTATTTAATGTGACAGTCTAAATGTATTTGTCAGGTACTTTATTTTTTTCTTCTTTTTTTATCCCAAACACCAATGCCACTTGAAGTTACTAGTTGGTCGAGGAATATTGAACTATGACTATGAGAGTCGTGTATAACATTCAGAAGTGCATTGTTGGCAATGTTGCTCTTACACTATTTGTACTCGATAGTGAAACGTGTTACAACTTATTCTGTTTACAGTTAGAGTGTTGCTACTACTAGCCACAAATAAGAACTAATTAAAAGTGTATATATATTTACATTTGATTGTCATTTCAGTTAATAGATAGATATAGATGTGTAACTGTATATAAATCTCAATCGAATACATTAATGATGGCAGATAAAAAATCGTGAGCTTAAGAAACTGATGAAGTTTGTGGACAAAAAAGGTTATGATTTCGTATTCGCAGCTTTCTCGGTGTATTTGCCTATGTTATTTGCTTATTCATAGATAGTACATATTATTTAATAATTTTGTTTCATAGATGTTACAGTTTTTAAATGTTAGAAGTATTTTTAGCTCAGAAAAGTCATATCAGTAATAAGTTTATATTTTTGGGGTTCACACCCAATACTTAAATAATGACTATACAAAGTAACTTGCCAAATATTCTATGTGAGATAGCAAATTTTTTGTCGAAACATAGAAGCTTAACAAGTGCCCATTTAGTAGACTTCTTTTCTGATGATATTTGGAGTCGCACCTTGAATCCTGAAATCCAAGATGAACTTCTTTCAATTAATGAAAAAGAATTTTTCCAGTTGATCGTAGATAATGACGTTTTCAAGCAGCAACAACAAGTGAAAAGGTATTTTTTAATGTTCAAAGTTATCCTTTAAATTTTTTCTGTTCTGTATTGTACAATATTAATTTTAGCACTTTCAACAAGTCATAACATAAGAATGATAAAGGGCTATTTTAGTATTTAGACCTTCAATGCTATCCTTGCACACCCACCCACACAGGCCATGCTGGTAAGAAAAAAGTAAAAACTTAAGCCCACCCTTTATTTTTCAGGATGTTATTAACTCTTCATTTAAACCCTTGTAAAGTAATGTCCTCCAATGCTGCCATCAGCAGTTCGATCCATAAGCCAGTTACCCTGTTAAAGAAATAAGCTGTCTTAATTGGAGCCTATCCTCTCTTTTACAAGTTTTAAATTTATGACTTCTCATCTTCTTGTATTAAGAATATAGCACAAACAAATCGCCTTGATTCTGTTGATCCCCCAGGTAAATTTGTAAACTTAGCCACCAATACACCAAAATATGTTTATTCAGTCGTGCTCTTAAGTGGGTTCTTATCAGTATTAAATATGTTATCTGAATTATGATGTTTCAGATGCATTGACTTACACTTGCTGTAATTAAAGGTCATTTGCCCAATATTTGTCCAACTAGCCAATTGCTCCAAGTCATTCTCTTGTATCCCAACATACACAATGCATATATATATATACCCAAAAGTTTGATGTCATACTCAAACATTACTAATTATTAATATCATTAATGTGGATAAGAAAAAGTACAGTCCTTTGAGGCATCTACTTTTAACAAGGGTGTGGTTTGGCTAGACTCCATTAATGACAACTTTTTTGCTTTTTCTCATCCTATAATCCAATTTACTAGTTTTTCCAACCACCACCAAGTGGCTTGGGCCCACAGGTGTGGACATTTTTGGAATTTCAATACGATATTGATCATGGTTCTGTTCTGATTTTTCAAGACACCAACTGGGGATTCAAAGCACTGTCAAACAGAATAGGAGCTGGAGCCTCATGTGCCAGTGCCTAGTAATGCTTCTGTTTTTAGCTAATTGTTTGTGTGACATCTTATCAACAAGTTTTTGAAATCTTTGTACACTATGTTCAAAATAACACATAATCCTCATTTTTGACAGTTTATTATAACAATCATATGGGTGCTTATTGTTGTACAAATAGTTTTTATATTTTGTCACTGGATCACAGAAAATTATGGTGAAAGTTTTAGAAACCATAAAAAGAATAATGAAATAATGGCAGAAAACCATTGGCTGATGGAGGTTACTGTACACTTAATGAAACATCAAAACTTTGGGTTCAAGTTATTTGCATAAACTATGTCATCAGGCTAACTAGGACTATGAAAATGTAAACCTTTACCCCTAACATTCAAAATTGTATTTCCATTATTTTCACATTCAGGCAAATCATCCATAGGAAGATTTCCAAACCCATAACAATTCTAAAAATATTTATAAAATCACTTTTAATTCTTTTACACTCCAAAAAAAGAAGAAAAACTGTATTCTTTAAAATATTGTAATTCAAGAAGTATTCTTGTACATAATATCTCCTTGACAGTTTTGTAATTATTTCAGTTTCTTTTCAGATAGAGGTTAATAATGGCTGGTTTGTTTGTTTTAACAAATTTATTATTACTGCACACACACGCTGCTTGGTAAAATAGTTAAAAGCAAAAGTAGTTTGATAACCAAGTAGACGACCCAGATCTTTCAAATTTCTAAGAACTGTTTTTTCAAAATGTAACCTTTAAAACCTATGTAATTATTCAAATAGCCTGTAACTGTCTACAACATTCTGTTTTTTAATGTCTCAGCCTGTAAAAATTGTACACTTACAGAAATAGAATTTTTTATCTTTCATTTAAAATGTAAAATTCAACTCTTAGTTGTAGCTGTTATACATGAGCCCTGAAGTAGACACTCATTGTGGCCAGTAACAAATGATTATTCTCAGTTACATTTCAAGAAAGATAATATCTTCAGTTGTTTGGTAGAAGTTTGTTAAATATATTCTGTATTTCAGTGAATTTCAGCCTGTAGTTTGTCAGATTTAGTTATTATTTTAAAGGCTGGCAGCAGACACTGCTGAGAGGCCTGCAATGTCATAATAACAAAAAAATGTATGATATTTACATATAGTGTTGACACTGTATGTAAATATCATATAGTGTTGACACTATCTGTTTTTTGTTTTACAGAAATGTTCCACACCTTACAAGGTTCATCAAACAGTCCTGTCATTACACATTACCTAATCTTGGAGTCTGCTCCGCACTTGAAGACATTTCAGGCAATAGTTTGAAATCAGTAGTAACTTCCTTTCATGACCCTAAGTTTTTAATATCCAACAAAAAAAATCATGAAGTTGAGAAGATGTCTGAGATTATATCACATGTTGCAAACCAGTGTGATATCAAAATGGTATTATTTGTTTATCTATCTGTTCAGTATTTATTTTTTATATATATATATGCACTTTATTTTTATCGTAAGAGTTATTTTAAAAGTGAAATTATTTGGTGCTTGTTGAAACGTTTACTTAACTATTTCTGTATTGGAAGTTTACTATTTGCCTGAGTACTCTGTTTTGGCTTTAAGTTCCTCCACTCCTAGCTACAAATATCCACCTTCCTCCCCCTCTTTTTGAAAAATTATAAATTGTGTTAACCCATTAACTACTGCAGTAGCAGCTCGGTTGCCGTTTTCTGACTCACAGATAAAACTGAGTTGCCATCAATCACATTAAAATGGTAATTATCATCATTCGCATAGAGTTATAGTTATATATGAGCGACTGACGGATATTTCCGTCATTTGCAGCTGAGTCTTAGAACTTCAGTGACGGAAATATCCGTCATCCGCAGTTAATGGGTTAAGCTGACTTATCCCGACTAATAGCCATTTGGTCTAAAGAATGCCTACCACATAAAAACATGTGCTATTTCTAACCATACAATTAACAACTTTCAAACTAAAGCTTGCTGTTTAGCTCACAGCTTTTGAAAAAAAATACTTTTTTCTTTAAAGCATTAAGTGTACTTACCTCAATCTTTTATTCCATTAATACTGAAAAATGCATAACATCTTGGCATCCTTTAAAAATGTAAATTACAGGTATTTTTCTATTTATAGTGCAAACTAGATTTATATCAGTTTTGGTTTCAGTTACATGCTTACACCTTCATTATAAACTGTCATTTATCTTTCAAAGTTACTTCTTTAAGTTGAAGTATGATGAATTAATTGTTCATGTCTGTATGTTAGAGAAAAACGTACCAAGAGTAATGTATTAAATGCGATTCTGTTTAGTACAAAAAAACATGTATCACCAGTCAACATCATAGGAGAGCTGCCTGCTTTGCCAATATTACTTGGAATGAAACTAGCAGTGTAATATGTAATAAGTACACCCATGGCCATATTATAAGATAAGCATCCCCCCCCCAAAAAAAAAACAACAAAAAACATGTTAGGTTGATTTTACTAATTATTTAAATAACCTGGGCACTTAAAGGGGTAAATACAGTGTATTTTAAAAGTTTTTTTTCAACTTCAAAAAAATGAAATATGGTTTGACTCGTAGTCTTTTATAGCAGTGTACCTTTCTACAAAACTTGTATTTAGCAGCGTACTTATAAACTTAAAGGTGTTAATGAATGTTCATAATTTTGTATTGTTTTTTTAATGGTCATGAAAAATTTCAATTCGTAAACCTAAAAAGACGTGAACCCAAATTTCATTATTTTGCTAAACCTTCTGTTAGAATATTAAGCAAGTTTGGATATTTCTTTTTATAATCTTAAGCATGGATATTTAAATTTTATGATCAACTTTTATAACTCTTTTTGTGTGTGTGTGTGTGTGGTACAGTAGTTGTGAGGATTGTCATCACATTATTTGTTATTTATGTAAATTAATTATTATAGAGAATGTAAATGACATACATAGCATTTTCTAAATTGATTTCATGATAATTATAAGTATTATCATTCATTTGTTTATTTCAATAAATAATGATGGAAGACTGTGAGATTGTAGAATTTTACTTTTTTTTTTTTACTCACCATAGCATAGAAATGTTATTTCTATTTCATTACAAGTTCCCTGGTTCAAAATTTGGAAATATTATGGTAATTGGTAAAGGTATACTTGCTAATTATGTGTATTAAAGTATTCTGACTTTCATATTTATGTTAGTAAATTAGATCTGAAAAGCCTCAAGTGGCTCAGTGGTAAGTATAATTCTAAAAATCAGGTATTGATACTGGTGGTGGGTCCTGCACAAATAGCCTAATATGTAGAGAAATAAATAAACAAAAAGAAGATCTGAATTAATTGTCAATGAACTTCATGTAACTGACTTTGATATTTTGAATAGTTTTTTTACCATTTTCATCAACAGGTCATAGACCTTGGCAGTGGTAAAGGTTACTTATCCTCTTACCTTGCCTTAAACTTCGGGTTAATTGTGTTGGGAATTGATGCATCCAGTAGCAATACTACCCTTGCTTGTGGCAGAAATTTTCGGCTTTATGAATTATTAAAGAAACAACAACAGAAGCAGTCAGTTTCTGGAACCATATGTGTGCATGATTTCAACTTGGTCAGTGGTGAAAAAGAAAAAATACATTTTTGTGGAAAGGAGAACATAAGTAACTGTTGCCCATCGAAAAATATTCCAAACTCTTCTTCTGAACTGCTTATTAATGCAGAGGGTTTTGGAAGATTTGTGCCAATCACAGCAAGTATTAAAACAGACACCGTTTTAGAGGACTTAATTTCACAAGCCAAACATGAAATAGAACACCAACTACCAACAGAAAACCCTTTGGTCAATATCATAGACACAGATCCAATTTTATTATGTGGGTTACATACTTGTGGAAATTTGGCAGCTGCTGAACTGAAATTATTCTCCAGAAGTCAGCAGATAAAAGTTTTATTAAATATCAGCTGCTGTTACCATTTGTTAGAAGAGGAATTTTGGAAAAACACTTTCGACAAAGAAGGTAAATAGAAATTGACTTTTTGAATGTTATTGAATGTTATTTCAGACAAAATTTTGCTTTCAACTCTTAAGTAGCCTAATATCCCCCTTAAACTATTTTCCTCTTACAAAAATGGTGTAGTACTTTTCCACTTTTTTCCATATGCAAATACTTTTTAGAATACAGTCATACTTAAAATGATAAAATATTTGATTTTAAGGTTAAGTATAAATGTATAAGAAACGGTTTTCTCCAGACAATACAAAATATAAATACAATAACATCAACCCCATAAATTGAGGGGGAATATATATATATGTTACATATTTATACATATTTTTATAGTATTTTAAGAGGGTACAGTATTGTACTTCTTCTTACAGAATAGCTTTTCCTGACTTTTACTGCCTTCTATCTGTGCAAATTTTCACTCACCACAAACCTTGATACTCCCACCTACCCTCACACATTTTCTCATGAGGCAGCTACATAATAGCATGCAAATGAGCATGCAACAACCCTCCACCAATAGGAGCTCAACACAACTCCTAGCACAGCTGACTCCCTCTATGCAGCTTAGCCAAACTTCACTTCTTGAATGGCATTTGTGGTGTTCAGACAGTTTTTTGCTCGTTCCTTCCTTTACAGAATTTTCAATTGGTTCCTTCTTGTTTTTTGTAAAGACATTAGTTTTTTCTTTGTTTCTTACTCCTGTTTTGAAATTTTAGTTTGTGCATGTTAGCATTACATATCTCTTATTATAGTATGTGATTCTTTGTAGCTCCCTGTTTGGACTTTTGTACTTCCATTTTTTGTTGGAAGGGATTCTGGGTTTATACATTACACCTATTACCACTGCTGTTCCTTTAACAATTAACCTTACTAAAAAAAAACACAACTACCATGTCTTCGGTTCCACAATTGTCAGTGGGGGGTGCTACAGCTTTAGTTTGTTGGGAGTTGGCTAACTTCATTTGAACTTCTGCTTTTCCTGCAAATTCTCCTCTCCTGCCTTGTTCAGGGTTACCCGAACACAAGGACGTGGATATTGACAATCTGTCCCCCCCCCCCCTCCTTCCATGTCG